ACATCTGTGAAAGAGCTCACGGGCAGAGGGTACAGCTTGTGCCAAGACCCCGAGGCGGGACAGAGCATGACAGAGTCCGTGTGTCGAAGGCCTGTGTCAGGAGAGGGAAAGAGGGGAGGGAAGGAAGGGACAGGGCCGGGCTTGTGTGCTGCAGGACTTGGGAGCCACGGGGAGTTGAGCCTAGGGAGGTGTGTGGAGTCTGAGTCATGTGTTTTCCCTTCCTGTGTCTCTTTTCCTCTTTCTCCTTCTCTCCCTCTCTCTCTTTCCCTCTCTTTCTTTTTTTCTTTCCTTGTGCTGGGGATGGAACCCAGGGCCTCACACATGCTAGGCCAGTGCTACCGCTGAGCCACCCACATACATCCCTAGTCCTAGATTCATGGTTTTATTTTTACTTTCGTATTTATTTTCGTACCAGGGATTGAACCCAGGGGTCCATAACTGAGCCACATCCCCAGCCCTTTTTACACATTTTTTTTTTTTGAGACAGGGTTTCACTAAGTTGCTTAGGGCCTTGCTAAGTCGCTGAGGCTGGCTTTGAACTCATGATCCTCCTGCCTCAGCCTCCCTAGCGGGCGCCCAGCTAGACTCCTGTTTTTCGATGGTTGGTATGATAGCTAACAGTGATATACCCCACATTCGTGAGTCCTTATATCCAGACACATTAGCCTGCCTAACTCATTTCATCTTCAAACAGCCCGTGGGAGCAGGGACTGTTATTGGCAGGCCGGTTCCACAGCCGAGCCCATGGGGTCCAGGTCAGCGCTGGGCTCTCTTTCCCTCCCTAGGTGGAGAGCCTGGAGTCTCGCGAGATGTGGAAAGGCTTCATCCTGACGGTGGTGGAGGTGAGTATGGCCCTGCCCCTGCTCCGTTCTCCAGCAGACCGCCTTAAAGATCCTCTCCCTGTCCACCCCTCAGTAGAAGGAGTCTGGAGTGTGGCACACTGGTCACCAACTGGCCACTTGCGGGCACAGGTAGCCATAGACATCTGTTTGGCCAACATAATGCTAAAACTCAAAATTAGCTGCCATTATTTCAAAACCAGAAATTTTAGCCCCCATTCCCGATTTTTCTCATTGACTTGTTTGCTTCCTGCCTGGCCCTGGCAGGCCACTGAGTTTGGGACTTGCTGCCCCCGTAGATTGTGGAGTGTGAGACCCCAGACTCCAGCACCAGCCGCGTGCCCCTCTGCAGGGCCTCGTGTCATCCTCTGGAAGCCCTCTTTGCCCCTCCGGTGTCCTGAGGCCCTGGAGCCCTCAGACCCGGGGTTCTTATCCTGGCTCTGCGAGCCGGCCTCGGTTTGCCTGTCGGGGATGTGGGCGCACAGGCTGGTTCACGGCTTGTGCCCGATCCCCCTCAGCTCCGCATCCCATCCAAGCTGACCCTGCTGCCAGGACACCTGTATATGATGGCCGAGGTCCTCGCCAAAGAGGAGGCGCGCCGCTCCCTGGAGATGCCGTTGTGAGTGCCAGGGCCTGAGGGACTCCAGGATGGGGACGAAGTGGCTGAGGGTGTCCCTGAGCTGGCTCAGGTGACCTGGCTCGGGTTGAGTACAGGCTGCATCAGGGTTGGAGCGGGGATAAGAACTCATACTGGGTTCGGTGGGATGGGATCTTGGGTCTCGGTGCCTAGAGGGTCTACAGATGGCCTGCAGGGTGGCCAGGCCTGGTGGACAGACGGGCGTGTCTGGACCCTGAGGGTGGCCCTGGCCCTCAAGAGCCGCCCTAGGTTCCTGGGGAGCCCTTCAGGGAAGGGTCCGGGTTTGCCGGGCGGGAAAGTTCTCCAGGTGAGTCCTGACAGGTTTACCTGGCCTTCTGACTAGGGGATGGAGTAGACCTCCGGGGTGGATCACGTGCCCAGAAAGCAGGAAGGGTCTTCAGGGGCGGGGTTACCGAGGAAGGCGGGGCTTAGCTTCTGGGGGCAGGCTCTAGGTCTGGGGGTGGGGGTGGGTTCCGGGGCGGGGCCTGGGCTTAGGTCTGGGGGTGGGACCCAGGGGCGGGGCCTGGACCTGGGAGGTGGGCTGGGTCCTCCCGGCCACCCGCTCCTGCGGGACCGGCGGTGCCAAGTAGGTGGCGCGGCTCGCCCCAGGTGCTTTCTGAAGGTGAGCCGGCTGGAGGCCCAGCTGCTCCTGGAGCGCTACCCCGAGTGCGGGAACCTGCTGCTGCGGCCCAGCGGGGACGGCAAGGACGGCGTGTCCGTCACCACGCGACAAACGCTCAACGGGTACGCGGGACAGCCCAGGGGCTTGCGCTGGGCGGGTGGGCGTGGGGCGTGCTCGGAGGGGCGGCCGAGCCGGGACCTAGGGGACCAGCGTGACGCTGGATCTCCCTTGGGCTTCGTCGTCGGGGTGGGGTTGGGGCCACGTTGAAGGTGGAGGGAGAATGTGGGCTCGCGGCAAGAGAGGGCTCCTTCCCCTGGGGTGCGTCGGTCGGCCGGGTCCCTGCGGTGGGCGGTGCCAGCACTGGGGGCGGGTCCCCCTTTTGGATGGAGTCAGTCGGTCTGGCCCACCCTGGGCCAGATCCAGGACCAGGGCCGGGCCGTGCCTGGGCTACCTGGTACCTCTGGGCTACCTTGCAGGGCGCCTGTGGTCCGGCACTACAAGGTGAAACGCGAGGGCGCTAAGTACGTGATCGACGTGGAGGATCCGGTGAGCACGCGGGTGCCGAGAAGCGCCCCGGCGCCATCAGCACCCTTCGCCCTCGCCGTGACCACTACCCACTCTCCGCAGTTCTCCTGCTCCTCGCTGGACGCAGTGGTCAATTATTTCGTGTCGCACACCAAGAAGGCGTTGGTGCCATTCCTGCTGGAGGAGGACTACGAGAAGGTGTTAGGTGCGTGAGGCTTTGCCCATCGGGGGCCGGGGGTGGGGGTGGGGGGCCCTGTGCGCGCCTCTCCTGTCCGGGCCACCCCGGGCCAGCCTCTGGCTATGTGCCTTCTCCAGGCCACCCTCTCTGTTCCAGGCTACGTGGACGCGGATAAAGAGAACGGGGAGAGTGTATGGACTGTGCCCTCTGCCCCTGACTCGGACCCAGGTGAAACTCCCTCCGCTGTTGCTGGGGCGGAGGAGGGAGGGACCCAGGACCCATGCCGCCTCACCCCCTCAGCACATGGGCTCAAGTGCCTGATTCATACCCAGAGTCCAGGGGCAGAAATTACCCAGGCCTTGTCCTGAGGAGCTTGCAGGTTGGGGGCGGGGATGGCCACAGCTGGACACAGGTAAGTCCCATCCCTGTGGGGTGGAACATGGGATGAAGGAGAGATGGGAGCTGAGGAGGGGGCACCTTGAGGAACTGGAGGAGAGGGAGATGCCTGCAGGAAAGGCTCCCTGGAGGAATGCTGTTGGCTGCAGGTCCCAAGGGATGTCAGTGGGCAGAGAGGGCATTGGAGGGTCAGAGGATGCCCAGGGATGGGTGAGTGACAGGGAAGGGGTGGCAGTCCGTTCTGTTTATGGGGCAGGAGGAGGCAGGACACCTGCAAAGCTCTGTGGGTCTGGCACTGCTGGGTCCCCACACATGTCCACACGCAAGCGCAGGCTCCGTGACCTTCGTCCACCTGCGCAACCACAGGCCCCCGTGTGCCTGTGTAGACACGACAGTCTACACATGCATGTGTCCCATGTTCCAGCCACGTGTCCACACCACACAGCACACACCTCCTGGAAGCAGGCAGCACATGTACACACACGTGCAGAGCCCTCTCAGTCCTAGATCATGACAACAGCAAAAGGCATGGGCCAGCGCGGGCCTCCAGAGCTGCATGGGGTCACAGGTGCAGCAGGCGCCTGCGTACAAGCCTTAGGCGTATATTTAACTTATGCAAACCCAGTGTGTCTGCTACCCAGGGACACAAATGCAGGTTCACAAAAACCACAGATGCCCAGGGACATATATACATATTCAGATGTGCACATAGACCCACCCTAAGGCATCCCTGTACCATATGTGCCTGACAGTGACTGTCCCTGCCAGGTCCTGCACCCCCTGCAGGTGGCTCCAAGTCACTGCCTCCTGTGGCATCCAGCCAGGACAAACTGCCCCCACTACCTCCCCTGCCCCCGCTACCGAGCCAGGATGACAACTACGTGACCCCCATTGCAGATGCCCCAGCTGCGGACTACGTGAATCAGGATGGTGCGAATCAGGATGGTGTGTGGGGCAGGGTCCTATTGGGTGGGGGCAGGCTGTGACACCGCGCATTTGTCCACACAGTGTCTTCCTCTGGTTGTCCGGTTGTCCCAAAGCCCAAGAAGTTAGCAAAGGCTCCAGCAAAGCCTCCAAAGCCATCCACTGTGCCCAAGCCAGGTAGGGATCCCTCCCCACTTCCTCCGTCATCTGCCAGCGGGCAGCCGGTCCCACCTCTGCCTTCTTTACAGTGCCCAAAGGCAACAACAGGCCGCCGGCCAGGAAGTTGGTGGGTGGCTCACCCCAGGCTGCCTTCCTTGCAACAAGTGAGTGGTCTGTGGGTGCCTGCAGGGTGGGCTTCCAAAGGGCGTGACCTGGAGGGTCACACAGGACCCCGAGGGCCCTGCAGGTCAGTGCTCTGGTCTTCCGATTCCTAATGCCTTGGGACACATTTAATTTTGCCTTGGGCCCTGGACGTCTGTAGATGGTCCTGATGGGTTGGGGTGGACACAGGCTGGGATCCCAGGCCCAGCTGAAGCCTCAGGACCACCCCCCCTAGGGCTGGGGGACGTGACGGCGGAGCTGCAGGAAAAGCTGCAGAAGAGGCGGGCCCTGGAGCAGTGAGCCGCGCCACGGGACAGGAGGGCTTCGGCCCCAGCTCAGCTCGCCATCTGCTCTCCCAGGATTAAAACTTGAGTGACCCAGGCGCACGTGTTTGGCTTGGCTCTGGATGGGGTGGGACGTGTTCTCACGACTGGCACCACTTACCCCAGACACCTCAGCTCAACCAAGCCTGCTGCTGGGTCATCTAGGAAAGCCCGTGAGGCCCCAAGGCCAAGCAGCAGGCAGGACCACCCAGCCCCAGAAAGCAGCTCGCGCCTGCGCAGTGTTGGACCTTTATTAGGAAGTGAGGTGGGAGGGGCCACCTGGGCCACGCCCTGGCGGTGCACCCCTCAGGAGTTAAGGCTCCAAGCAGCAACCGAGAGAAAGGCACCCAGCTGAAAGGGCCGGGCCAGGCGGCCCACAGACACCCTGCCGCTGGGTGGCCGGGGGCCTAGGTGAGGCTGGTGTTGGAGCTGCTGGTGGCACTGCCCCGCTTCTGCAGGCAGCGCACGGAACTGGGGACCTGGAGGCCTGTCGTCACCTGGAAGCTGCCACACCACACCTGGGGCGGGTGGGGAGGAAGGAGGTTCAGCCGCGCCCCACACCCTCAGCCCCACTCCTCCCCGGGCCCTCCGCTCACTGTGAAGGCAGGCAGCAGCGGCTGTGTGAACTTGGCCTTGAAGGTGTGCAGCAGCTGCTTGGTGCGGGCATTGTAGAAGGACAGGAGGCCTGGGGCGGAGGGCAGAGCGACAGGGACCGTGTCAGGAGTGGGATGCGGACCTGGGCGCTGGCAGGGGCAGGGCACGGGCAGCTGGAGGTGGGGGTCACCTTGGTGAAAGTCACAGTGCACGCCCAGGCAGTCGGGCACGGGGGCGTCCAGCACCTTGACTTTGTTGGCGTGCTTGGCCGTGAAGCTGACCTGCAGCCAGTTGTTGACGTGCAGGCACCAGGACGCAGGGGTCTTGCCCAGCTGCTCAAAGCGGCCCAGGCTGCGGTAGGCCACTCCAAGGCCAAAGGCCTTGCTGTCCGGTTCGTAGCGCACTTCCCAGTACTGCTCCCCGCCATCGATCAGCGTGTCGCCTGTTGGCCAGAGTAGGCAGTGGGGATGGGGCAGAACCCAGCCCAGATACACTTCTGAGAAGGGAGGCCACCCAGGTACTCCCACACCACAGCTTCTCCCTCCAGATACTCCCTACACCACAGCTTCTCCCTCCAGGTACTCCCCACACCACGGCTTCTCCCTCCAGGTACTCCCTACACCACGGCTTCTCCCTCCAGGTACTCCCTACACCACGGCTTCTCCCTCTGGGTACCCTCCTCAGGCCTAGTTGTCCCCCAGGTTTTATGGACCCTCTAGAGACTCACTAAGCCTAGATACTCTCCAGGACTCAGTGTCCCCTCCCCCGCCTTTTTTGTCACTGGGGATTGAATCCAGGGGCACTTCACCAGCCCTTCTCCAATCCTGCAGCCTCTCACTTCTCCTCAGGCGCCAGCTTCTCTCCCTGGCTCCTTCACGTCACCTAAGCCCCCTTCCGCTTCAGCCCTCTGCAACCCCGGTGCTCCATAGGCCACCATTCTACCCAGCTACTCCTGAGACTCAGACGTCCCCCAGCTCCCAGCAGCCCCCCACGCTCCCGGACGTCTCCCCGAGGCTCCTGCCCGCTGCTCCTGCCCCCTGCTCCCAGACCAGAGCCACGGTCCTCCCTGGAGCCATTCCAGAGCGAGGTCTGGCCGACAGCTGCCCTGTCCATCGAGGGCACTGTCCCTGCACCCTCTGCCCAGGGTCCCCCCAGAGCTCCTGTCCCCTTCCTGCCCCTCCTTACCCAGCACCGTGTAGGATTCGGCCGTGAAGCGATCCCTCCCACCTCGCCCCGAGGACATCCTCTTGGGAGACGGAACACCTCTGTGGGCGGCAGAGAGGCAGCAGGGTTCAGGCTGCTCCAGAGGAGGCCTCTGTGGTCAGTCCCTGACAGGGTCTGGCCCTTCCGAGTCCCCGTCAGAACGTGCCCGGGCCCCTCCTCGCGGGAAGGCTCCTGCTCTCCATGGGCACCTTCACAGCCTCCCGGAGCCCTGGGCTCCTCCCTCCTCCCGGTTCTGAGCTCTGGGCTGTCCCGCCCCTCGGCTGGAGCCCCCCAGGCCCGGGCACGCAGGTACCTGGCGGGCGAGTGGACAGGAGACGCCGTCCGGCCCTTGCCCTCCTTCTCGCGCGCCTTGATGTCCTGCACCTTCCCGCCCATGGCGTCCCACTCCACGGCCAGGTCCTCCACCCGCAGGTTCTGGTGGGATGTGGACGCATCCAGGCGGAACATAAAGGCTGGGCCGGCAGACAGGGAGTCACAGAGATGGGAGCACCCAGAGAGACACAGAGACAGTGACAGGCAGGACAGCAGAGAGACAGGTACAGAGACAGGTGGGAAACACCGACAGAGACAGGAGGGCACAGGCGGGAAACCGAACACGGAGCCGGAGGCGGAAGGTCCAGTCTAGAGGCAGCCCAAGACATGGCTCTGCCCTGGGCCTCCACTGAGGACTCATCAGGAAAGGGGAAGGACTACAGCATGGAGGACTTAGACTAGACAGCAGAGGGCCTTCCTGGTAGAGCGGGCACGGTGTCACTGTGGGAGGCTGCAGAATCTACCTTCACTACTGATATTCTGGGCCCAACTCTAACAGGACTGCTCTATTTGATGAGAGAGGGACAGCATATGTATGTATTAAACCATCCCTGTACAATGGGATCACTCTCAGAAAAAGCAGGGTGGTACACGACAGCCACTGTGGACTCAACTTTGAGCTTCCTGGCGGCCAGGGCCACAAGGGCTGCAGAATCTGGTTAGTGGATTCTCATGACACACTGGAACCCAGGGCTCCAGAAGGGAGGGATGTGGACAGGGAGGGGGTGGGAGCCAGTCACCTGGTGTCTCCAGGGTCACCGGCTCAGAAAATTCTCCTGCAACTGCCTTATTGCAGGCTTTCACACGGAAGTTCATGTATTTCATGTCAAACTTGAGGCCTGGGATGTAACATTTGGAGGTCAGTTCTGTGCACTCCGAAGCCTTGGGCGGTGGGGGAATGCTATCCTTCCCATGCCACCGCGGTCCCACCGCCCCCACCCCAGGCTTGTCAGCAGCACCCTTACAAGCAAGTCTTTCTGAAAAACTGTGCTGATCTCACCCACCCATGGGGGCCACAGATTACTGGACTCCGCCTCCAACCCAGAGCAGCCAATCAGAATGGCTGGTTGAGATAGGCACATGACCCAAGCTGACCAATGAGAATTGGCCCTGGGACTTTAAGCAAAATTTAAGCCTTTAAGCAAATTTGCTGGCACATTTAAGAAACCTCTTGAGATAGAAGTTCTGCCACCACGGGTCAAAGGTGACTGTTATTGCTAGAAGCCTTGAACTTGGCTACCCATGACTTTTTTTTTTCCTTTTTTTGTGCTGGGGATTGAACCCAGGGTGCTGTACCCCTGAGCCACATCCCCAGCCCTCTTATTCTATTTTGAGACAGGATCTCACTAAATTGCTGAGGCTTACCTTGAACTTTCGATCCTCCTGCCTCAGCTCTAGGGTTACCGTGTGGCCAGCTGTGTGGCCACTGTAGCTGGCCGGGCTGGTTAATTCTCCCTCCCCCTAGGGTATAATCCAGCCCCAGCCCAGTTTCCTGGATTGGACATGAAGGACATGAACTACTGTTGTGTAAACCAGCACCACGGAGGAAGTTGGGGGAAGGGGACAAAGATCCTGAAAGCACTTTTTGAATTTTCACAACTTCCTATGTATCTGTAACCATTTCAAAATAAAAAGTTACAAAAAAACAAACAGAAATCAGGAGGACCTAGAGGTGAGGATTGTGGAATCCCAGAAGAGAAAAAAAGGGTGTGCATGTGTGTTTGTTTTGATTCCCATGAAAGAAAAAAACCAATAGCTGCTCAGGCTGTCTGGGTGATTTTCCCCTCTGCAATTAGCAAGCTCATTATTAACCACATATGCTAATTACAGATAACTAGCAGGCTGATGACAGCCTGGGAAGGAGGAAGTGAATGGGGACACCCCTGACGTCAGAACGGCTCTCCGCCCCCAGGACTCCCCTTTCTAAACTCATCAGGGAGCCCCCACTTTCCAGCCTTGAGACCCTCCCCTAGCAGCTGGGTGGACTCCCGGCTTTCGACTTCTTGTAGCTGCCAAGGAAATCCTGAGTCCTGGGAGGCCAGTCCTAGAGTCCCCGCAGAGGTGAGGCTGCGCTTGCTGCCAGGCCAGCCAGGATCAGCAAGTGGCTGGCTGGCTGCTGGACAGCAGAGACAGGGAGATAGTTGCTGTGCTTCCTGTCCTTCCTGGGTCACGCGGTGACCGCAGCCACACCTGTGATGTGTGTGCTCAGTCATGGCACAGCGCTGCCGGCCATCTCTCCTCCATCCTGTTCCTTTCTGATGCTCCTGACCGGCCCACCCACAGGTTGCCCTAGACCCTGAGCTCTGAGGAGGTGGGCCAGGCCCAAGTGGACTCATGGCTCAAAGGCACCTGGAGGCAGTGAGCTGAGTGGGTACCTGTCAAGGTATACTCTGTGTGCCGGATGCCCTCGATCACCATCCAAGGCTGGTCCTCCTTGAGGCGCGGCGGGCCCTCGAAGTTCGTCCTTCGGTACTCCAGCACATAGTGGTCAATCTTGCTGTCCTCATCTGGCATGCGCCACACCAGGGTCACACAGTTATCTGCCACCAGGGACTCGGCCAAGTCGATCACAGGAGCGCTGGGCACTGCCCAGGACAGAAGGGAGGGGGGATCAGGGTTCTGGGTCCCGTGGGGTACAGGCAAGGGGCTTGTGGCAGTGCCCCTGCCCCAGGATGACCTGTCTTCTACACCTGGGACAGCCCCTCTAGGTTTGTGACCTGGGGGTGGAGCCTCCTCAAGGGGTGGGGGTCGTCCAGTGCCTTCCCAGGGTTCACCCAACACAGTCAGACCCTGTCAGACTCCACCAGTTACCGGAACAAGGTGGCCACGCCTATAATCTCAGGGACTCAAAAGGCTGAGGCAGGAGGATGGCAAGTTCAAGGCAGCGTGAGCACGTAGCAAGACAGTGTCTCAAAATGAAAAATAAAAAGGGCTGCGAGTATAGCCCAGTGGTTAAGGGCCCCTGGGTTCAATCTACAGTACCAAAAAAAAAAAAAGTCCACCATTTAGAAGCCAGACTTTCCCAGAATTCACTACCACCTGGGGGTGGCTTTCTTTAGGGCTCCACTGCCAAAATGTCTCTCAGAGTGTCAATTCCCTGCAGGGGGTGACTCTCTAGGCCTTGTCCCCTGGGGACAGGGTTTTCCCAGGGCCTGGCTACTGTGCCTGTCTTGTGGCCTCACCCCCACGTGGGCGGGGCTCTACCAGGCTTTGCCGACATTGGGCAGAACATTCTGAGTCCCACCCACATGGGCTGGCTCAACTAGGGCTCCACCCCTGTGTGGGTGGGGCTAAAGCAGAGCTCCACCCATACAAAGGAGATCATAGTTAGTCCCCACATGGGCGGGGCTTAGCCAGGACTCCTCCTCACTTCCCCCCCTTACGGGGTGGGGCATTCTCGGGCCCCAGGGATAGGAAGGGGCCCTCCATCACAGGCTTCGGACACCTGTGGCAGCTTCCTTCCAGACACTTCCTTTCCTTCCTTTGCCTCCCTGGGCCATTTCCCTGAAATCCTCTCACCAGGCAGGAACTTGAGGGCCTGTAGCATCTGCCGCTCCTGTGCAAAGTCCACCATGAGGTGACTCATGTTGTCGCTGACCTTGGCTTTCAGTGACAGCCGGAAGGCAGGGGCCATAGTCACACTGCAGGGAAGGAGGGGAAGCAGCCTGCTGGGGTGTGTGTGGGGGGGGTGACCCTAGGCTGGGTCATCTGAGATGTGGGGCGACCCCTCCCATGTGTTACTGTCCAGTGTCCTGGGCCCAGGTGCCCTTGCTAGGATGTCCCACCTTCATGGCAGGGTAGGATGGGGGGTGTAGGAGCCAGATCCCAATATCTTACCCATCTTTGATTTGTTTGGCAGCCTAAAAGAGAGATAGAATAAAATTTAAAAATCTGTCATGACCAAGCCAGACAGCCATTATACAGACAGGAAGACTGAGATGCAGAAGAGAAGCAATTTGGCAAAGTCCCCATACTAGGAGGCAGAAGTGTGACCTACTCTTCTTCTAGCTGTGCCTTGAGGGGACAGGAAAACTAAGGCATGACCCCACCCTCAGCCTGCTCAGTGCCCAGTACATACAGGGTGCCCAGCTTACTTGACATTCAGATGAACAGTGAATGTGTTTAGTAGATCCTGTGCAACCTTTGAGAGGTACTTATGCTAAATACTGCATAAGTGTCCATATTAAAACACTCACTCACTCCTGAACTGAAATGCAAGTTAATCTGGATGCACTGTATGTTTTATCTGCCACCCTATGGTACCCACCTGAGGAAAGTCGTCACTGTCGGTGGCCTGCAGGGTCTGGTTGGCAGTCTCCAGAAGTTCCTCCGAGCTCTCCAGGGCCCGCATGCAGGCGGCCAGCTGGTTCTGTGGGTAGCGTGGCCCCGGTCAGCATGGTGCCAGGGACCAAGAGGAGATTACTCACCGGGAGCCTCACCACTCCCAGGCTTCCCACCACTGCAAGGGCCAGGGCCCTCTCAAGCTCCAGACAGGAGAGGAAGTCGGGACCTGAGGGCCCAGCCCAGTTGGCCAAGGCTCCAGGTGCCACCTCAGAACCACCTGGGGAATCTCTTCCTTAGAAGCTCATATGCCCAGGGCACACGATACCCCCTGTCCTGAGGACATGAGTCTAGGGTGTCAGAGTTACCCGGGAGGGTTAGATGTGGGTTAAAGAACTCCGGCCTGGAGCGTGAGAGCCCGCGGGAGCCTGGGAGGGCACCATCAGATCTGGGGAGCCAGCAGGAAGGGCTGATCAACTGAAGCACATGGTGAAGACAGGGGGGGACCGCGAGTCACAGGTGGGGGGCGTGCTGGAGGGGAGCTGGGGGAGCAGCACAGAGGACTGAGGGGCCGTGGCTGGGCAGCGGCAGGGAGAGTCCACCAGGAGCATCTGGGCTCTGCCGCACACCTGCAGCTCGTAGGTTCGGCTGGCCCGGTCCTGCTTTATCTTCATGAGCATCCCCTCCTTGAGCTCCTCCAGGACAGAGAGGAGGGACTGGAACTCCGCCTCAAGGTCCTCCTGCACCTTGGCCGAGTTCGCCTGAGTCAGAAGGCCAGGATTAGCGGGAGCCCATGATCAGCCGGGGAAACTGAGGCCTGGCCTCCTACAGGAGGGGAAGGAACAGGGCCATTGTTCTGGTGGGCACCCCCTCCCCTGCCCCCTCACCTCCACATTGAGCAGCATTTGCTTGAGGGAGTAGATGAAGCTCTGGATCTCCTCATTCTTCACAGCCAGGGTTGTGATGATCTTCCGCAGCGCTTCCTGCCCCACACATGCACACAGAGCAGGTAAGTTCCTCCACCTGGCCCGCTCCCTGTCTGCCCTCCAAAGATCCAGGAGGAGAGATGCAGCCACCATGCTAATGAGCCCAGGGACCAGCCACAAGCAGGCCTGGGTGAGCCTCTGGCCCTCTGCACTTCCCCTAGCAGGTGGGTTCCACAGAGCCTCCTCGTTTCATAGATGATGGGACAGACCTGACCCAGGCTTCGACCCAGGCTAGGCTTAAGCTGAGGGGAGCAAAGAACTTCCAGGAGGAAAAATGGGCTAGCCTGGGGAAAGGGCTATCTGTGGAAAGAAAAAACACTAGGAGAGATGGAAAGCCTGGGATGAAGACTAGCCTAGAAACAGGGGTGAGCCAGCAGGGGCATTCCCACCTGGAGAGCAGGGTTAGCAAGGAGAAAGTGATTACCTGGACAAAGGTGGCACCTGGACAAAGGAGATGCCAGAGAGCCAGGTAAGTGGGAAGGGGAAGGGAGGTCAGGAGAAAGGAGATGCGGGGAGGGAGTCTTGCGGGCGGATCTGCTCTGGTATGTGGCTCCGACCCAGGCCTTGGATGGGACCCTTTTCTGGGGGCGCAGGTCGGTGGGATTAGCACTGCAGAGGTGGCGGGGCCAGCACTGAAACACCTGGCCTTCACCGGGAGGGAAGGCGTGGGGGATGGGGTCGGGGCTGGACCCGGATACTGGGCGGGATGGGGGGCAAGGAAGGGACATCCTTGGCCCCAAGCCAAAATGATGGGGGTCTGCGTTCTCAGATGGGGGAACCCTGGATCCGGGCGGGGTTGCAGCGGGGGTGGAGCC